GGATCGGGAGTATCATGACTAGAGGCTTGGGCAGGAGCAATCACCCACGTGGCCTGACCCCCTCGGGGGGGTCGGGCCCGAGGGTGGTATGACCACCCCTCTCTTTGTCTCCCCGAGTGGTCGGACCGCTCCCGTTTCGGCCCCGAGGGCCGAGGCGCCCCGACCCCTTGTGGGTTTTGCGCCGCATGTATGGGTTAGGTGGGCACAGCGGGGCTCACCTAACCGCATTTATTGCGGTTTGGACGAGCGCGTCACGCTGCATGTAACGCAGTGCAGCGCACTCGTTTATCCGGTCTGTGACCGGTCACAGACCGGACAGATCGCGGGTTAGGTGGCAACAGGCGATCTGACACACGCCTCGCCCCGTCCCGTCAGGATGAGAGCCTCCAGGCACTCGTCCCTAGCCGGAGCCAGCGTGCTAGCTCCTGGAGATAGCACGTTGGTCCCGGTCAGATATATGCCAGGCTTCATCGCAACCATTAAAAGCAAGACATTGTATGAAGAAGGGCGAACATGCAGATTGGTAAACTGATGCGTGGTGGACAAGAACGGTCATGATCCCACGTTGCACCTGCTTCTGGCGGAGTGGAGGTAGGTATGGGCTGTCCCATCAGAAGGATCACTCGGACAGCAACCATTGCAAATCTCCGCCCATTTATGAAGGAAGGGCGGGCCAAGTTTTAGGAAAAAGAGGATGGGTCCCCACCGAAAGGAGAGATAGGTAGAAGTGGTGCATGTGGTATCCCCTTGATATATAAAAGGAGGACCTTGCCCACTTAGAGGGGGGATCCGAAAAAAAGGGAGGACCAAAAGACGAGAGCTGGGAGAGAAAGAGGAAGAGGGTCTCTAGAGTTTGAACTCTCTTGCTCTCCAGCTCTTTGTAGCTTCTTCATACACAGATCCACCAGAACACAGGAGTAGGGTATTACGCTTCTCAGCGGCCCGAACCTGTATACATCGCCCGTGTCTTATGCGTTTCCACTTTCGCGAACATTCCACAGATTGAGAGCTTAGAACTTCACTTAGCGTCCCCGGCCGAACCGGCAAAGGGGGGCCTGCGCGGTCTCCCGGTGAGGAGCCCCACGCTCCGTCAATTACATATATAATTACACTAGATTTATGCTATAATTAAATTTGCCATATTTTTACCTAAAGATCTGTCCTCATATTTTTAGATAGACTTGTTATTTTTTTGTTAGAAAAATGAGTTGCCAATAGATATGTGCTTAAAATGTACGTAGTAATTTGATGAGAAAGAAAGCATTTGGTTGAATTAGGAGTTTACACAGAATTTCCAACGAATTATGAAATAATAATTTTTCAGAATTTCCACCAATTATTTAATTTTACCAAGGCTATGTTCTGTTAATCTCTTCCAAAAAGGGTGAGGGAGGATTTACTAGAATCGCTCCAATCGATTTAACTGAAAAGCCCTAAATGATTCCTTAGGAACGACGGGTGATCTACTGGGCACTGGCCGTCCATTAAGTGTTTTAATCTAAGTATTCAGTCATTGATTAAAATTATGTTTGTGGCTATCTACTATATACTCCTATTCTACTACAGCTACTCGTACTAGCCAATGTCCCGTGTGAATGCATGGGCGAATGACCGGACAAATAACTATGCAAACTTAATTCCAGTTAATTAGTACTCCTACTCGTACTGTAGCTACTGGCGGATCAAAATAGTTATGCAAACTTAATTCCAGTTAATTCCTCCCTCCGTCCCTAAATATTTGACGCTATTGATTTTTTTAAATATGTTTAAAACCGTTCGTATTATTTAAAAAATTTAAGTAATTATTAATTATTTTTCTATGATTTGATTTATTGTCAAATATATTTTTATGTATATTGTACTGTACCATCTTCTAGATCAACTGGTCGATCGATACCAATAATGATTATCGTTCACTTATCGCTCTCCAGGATTAGTGCTCAACAGAATCCGATCCAACTGCCGTTAATTAAAGAAATCGAACCTCTGCATACAGGAAGAAGGAACACTAGCTTTATTCTTGACGTTCCTCTTCTCTTTTAGATGCAATCATGCAAACGAATTATACGCGGTAAGCTAGGTACGTACGCTGGTCTTTCTTCTCTCCTCTCGCTCAATTATTTATTATTTATTGGTCATGGTTACGTTTTCAGATTTCTTTTGAATAATTATCACGTCCTCCGATTAAATTACGGGATGACTAAACCGCGGCACGAGTGGTTTACTAACTCGTTGAGATTTGGTAAGAGGAGAGAGATAATCATGGACAGGAGGATCGACATTGCCGGATATTTAGCGAGGTCAAAATAGAATGCTCAACCTGAACGAAGTAATAATAATTGTTCAGTTCTTCCCTCGTGATACTACATGCCTCCGTTTATAAAAAAGTGTAAACTGTTCATGTTTATAGCTTATAAAGGAATGCCGTAACTAATGATTTTGCTGTATTTTTGTTGATAGTTTTTTTCTAAAAAATTGATAGATGTAAATATAGTATAATCATAGTATAACTATATTGTAACTTGCACGTAACTACGATATAATTTTGAACCGTTTGATTTACTTTAAAATTCGTGCATGGGATAGAAAAAATCATAACCCACCCACGCACATGTGAGGGGATTCGGTACCATTATCTCCGTTTTCACATGATTAGCATATCACCTTGGAATTTTTAAAAGTTAAATAGAAGTTACAATATAGTTACATGCAAATTACACTGTAATTATATCACAATTGTATTATATTTACCTCTATAAAATTTGACGACAAATGTTATAGCTAATCCCAGTAACTAATACGCACTCCTTCCAAAAAGCCTAAGACCTATTTCATTATTTGGTTTTTCCAAAAGTCTAAGTCCTGTTTGTAGTTATTATGTGCTAAATTAAATTGTTGATAGGAACCCAAGAAGCCATTTTAATGTTTATAGGTTGCATGTTCATTGGTTTTGTCACATGGTGAATGAATTAATTGTTTCTTGGTCTTCATGAAAAAGAAATAACACTCAAATTTTTGGAAGGAGGGAGTACTTTCTTATAGGAACTTAATTTTAGATTAGAAATATCATAGTATTACGAATCTTGACATAGTCTGTCTAGATTTATCGTGTATATGTTCAATTTAGTATTTATTACTAATATAAAGCGATTAGTAATAATTAAGTTTAATGATGCGACTTACAATTTGTTTCTGCATGGCTAGCTGTATTCTCTTCGAACCCTTTCGCCAACTGCTGTCGATGCAGACTTGTGCTTTATATGGTTGTGTGTGCCGTCGCATTCTTATTCTAGGTTTTGATCCCTTTGGGATACGATGAATCGTGGTCAGAGTTAGTTTGGATACAGCTAATCACCAGCTGCCAAGTGACTTGCACCCGCCGCCGCCGGGAGGGACGGGCAGGTATATATCTCTGTCTTGCCTCGTATCGTAAGTAGGGTTAATCGACCGAGCTTTCTGTAATAAATAAACTGGAAGGGATCTGTTTTAGCAGTTAATTACGGAGTAGTTGGTGTGTGTTGCCGGAGTCAAAATTGTGGATGCAATCATGGATGGGGATGCCTCAATGTATAGTAAGTGTATGGTGTTTGTACCCTCGCTAACACGAGCAAACAATATATGGTCGGCAGAAGGGCTACGGGGATTATTGAGTTTGCTCCTTTGCCTATGGTGTTGTGCTTCTGTGCTTGGGCCAAAACTTAACATGGCATTTCTAAATTTTCCATTGTTTTTTTTTATATTTTATAATTAAGAATGTCATTGAAATGATAATTCTGGTGGCGGAGCTAAAAAAATTTCAAAACCCAGGCAAATCTAACTACAACAAATATTTACTAATTTTTTTTTGTTTTCAATTCTATAAAATATCAAATTTTACAGCGTTTTCGCTACGATAAGTCCGGGCCACCGCCAGGGCGGTGGCTCCGCCACTGATTTTATGAATAACAATTTTTAATTATCCCTAAAAAGCACAATGCAACACAAATAGGTAAAAATTGTATAATCAGAAGTACAAGATGGACTTTTTTATAGTTTAACACTACTAGCCAAGAGCCCGTGCATCCTAACGATGAGTTTCTAGCTTATCAGGTCAATTAAGCACATGTTTAGTCTAAATAATACTTTTATGATTTTTCTTATTGAACATGTTTTTAAATTTAAGGAGAGGCAGCAGTGAAACATGAGAGGATTCGTTGAAGGGTGGTGCGGCATAGATTGTGAGGCTCAGATATCAGTAGTAGGGATGTTACTAACAGAACAGACACTACCACTACTAATATTAATAGTATAGATGCAAAGCTTATTTTTTTAAGGAGCAAAATTTATCTAAGTCAGGGTCAATTTAGTCTTTGTGCAATACTTTTGGGTGGCTTTCATGCGTATTTTTTACCAAAAAAACTAAAGAAACCGCATATACCAGCCCAACTATCTTGTATTGCATCGAAGTGCCAGGAAAACTAGAAGTACATACGGATTTGATGGAGATCAGCTCACTTCTAGGTTGCTTTTGCTTGCATTCTCCCTTGGAAGTTGGAAGCTCTATTGCTGATGGCTGATCCAAGGTGGGAGACAAATCCTTTCTCGGTTGAAATGCCATTATATCATTTCTCGGTGCTCACCTGTGACTAATTTACTCAAATTTCAATTCAAAAAAAATTATTCAAAATTAGCCGTGGATGTGCTAATCCTGTTAAACAGAATGAAGCAGCCATTACTACTAGAGCTTGGCTTACACTAATCTCGCCGAGCAGATGCTTTAAGTCTTCAAAAACAGAGAATTTTTTTAGTATGCTGCTACTCCTACTAATGAAATGCTCATTTCTCACATATGGTGCAATTTTTGTGGTATATTGTCTATCCCACAATTGGAACCACATTTTTGCTCACACTGTTAAGGTATTGTTCCATTTTGACTGTGTCGGCTGACCACATTTTAATTGATACTAGTGTTGAGCAAAGCTGGGGTATAGTAGAGCAGTGGAAGAACAGAGAGAGGGAGATGATGACACAGGGAAGATATATCTGTCATTTTGCAATGTTTTCTCTTACAGTCCAAATTGACAGAATGGGAGCAAAACAGGAAAAAAAATGGTATGTGGCTTGATAGTAGTGACATAAACGAGAAGTCACACAGTAACTAGTGGAGTACGTCAGAAGTTGGGAATTCATATATTAGTGGCATAAACAAAATTTTCCCTCAAAATTACATTGGTATGGTCTATACATAGATTAGGGAATTAATAATACAATGGAGAAACATATGGATGATCAAACTGCAGTTGTATACACACCTTCATCAACGTTCAAGTTTGCTCAGCAGTTCTTCAAGTCGTGGAAGTTCCTGCAATATGTCGTTCCAATTTGGCATGCCCTACAAATAAAGAAATACACTTGGTTAGATATATTAATTTACGCGTAAACTTCAGATTCAGTGTCATTCAATTCTAACGTATGACCTTCATACTATACTTATTACATCATTAAGTACTATCTCCGTCTCAAAATATAAGGGATTTTGCCTAAATTCCTCATATTTTAGTACGGAGGTAGTATAAATTTTCCTGTGACCAACTAAAATCCAGAGAAGAATTACTCTTCCAGATCTTCTGACACGACCATCCAATCGGAGGATTATATAGACATCTTCACCGGGAGTGACACCTTCAGACTCTTGCTGGTCACGTATCCAACTGAACCATGAGAATGTAGATGTCAACAAAACCTTAGACATAACAAATTGATGCTTTACAATTTTTGGATATTGAATTGTTGAGTTCCTTCTATAAGCATGCTTGACTACTATTAGGACAAATACTTCAATTCCTGGAATAGTCATCCCAGGACATTACATAATGTAAACATAAAAATACAGTGAAGCTAATAGAAATGCACAATTCTTTTTAAAAAACTAGTAAAATGCACAATTCTTTTTAAAAAACTAGTAACTAGTAACTGCAAAACTGAGAGCAGCAGGAGGGTTAGAAGCCATTATATTAAACATATACTTCCATCCTCCCAAAATAAATAAACTTTTATACACAAATCTGGACAAATAGGGTGTGTCCAAATTCGTGTAGGAAAAAGTTGAATCTTTATGGGGCAGAGGGAGTACAGAGAGAGGTGAAGGTGAAGCTATTCCTAATATCTATTTTTTCTCCTAAAAAAATGTTTATCTGTACATTAAATAGAGACTTAACAGCAGGGGTGTTTTTGGTGCCATAAGAAAAACAAGGTGTAAAATTCTTCAAATGAGTAAATACTAGTACTCCCGCCATTCAGAAATGTATGGCATATTTTCCTCAAAATGAGATTGAAAAAGACTTTTACTATTTATTCTCTCTAGCTACTATATTTAACACATGCATATTGGAAAGTTGGATACTTATCAGAGGTATAAAGGACATTATACTTGTTTTGCACAGGGGTATGAAATATTTACATTTGTGGACAAAGCGAATCAAGAACAGGCCTTGCATATGTGGACAGAGGATAATACCTTGGAAGGCCATTCAAAAGTTAAAACATATGGTCTACGTGAGTGGATGATACTTACTTAAGAAGGTAAAGGAGGCAAAGCATTGTGGAACAACACAAAAAAATGGTTGACATAATGGCATGCAAGTAGTGAAACCGAGGAAGTAATTTTGTTGTTTACCAGGTAACTATGCCCATTGTAATGCTAAATTATCAAAGAGCAGTAAAAACTATTAGCAGAAATGGGTGACACAGATTTTAATAATAATGATAAGTATTTCAGAGAAGACCACAAATTTTGAATATTGTAGAGGTGACCATAAGCTTATTCATTTGTGCCCTAGCTTTTCAAAAAATGTCAGTTTTTTTTATTCTTCCATGACATCTAAATACTTATTTATGTTGTTGTTCTATGTAGTGAGAGTAAAAAATCTACAAGTTAAAAGAAAAGGCACCTTTCCCATTGTTCAGGAGAGACAATATCAGCCTTAAATCGCTCTTCAGCTTTTAACCGTGATTTCGCTGCAATAGATTCAGTACGCTTCTCAAAGTCATCCTGTCAAGAGAAAATTGCTTTCCTTTTGAAATATAGAGGAAATTTTATTGTCTAAAATATATATATATAAAATTCTTGGGTTTTAGCAAAAACATGTAAGTTTAGCCTAACCCCAACTGAAGGAGCTGATGCAGCAGATCTTGAACTTCCAAAGCCTCTTGGCTTACTTTGGGCTTTCTGAGAAGCACCAAAGATCACAGGAATTAGAAGAACACCTCGTTTCAGCAGTTCAGTCCGATATCTCTCAGCTCTTTGCATTGCTCGAGTAATGGATGCTTTTGAACCTGCCAGTATAACCTAAAATACTTGTCAATATAGTATGGGCACACAAAAAAAGCACAAAAAGATGTATGCAACTCAGGAAATATCAAGCTATCTATTGAGAATTGAAGATGTAAAGAGAACTATACTAACTGGCCTAGTAATGTCCCGGAGTTGCACAAGCTCAATAATGCGATTGGTTGACAGGCGGACAGGTAACCTTGAAAGGGTTTCATTGCGAGAAATTTGTGTGATCTGCTGCTCTTCTTTCTTGTTTTCCCAGAAATACAAAGCCACGAGCACAACAATACCTGCAGTGCGCTGATTCAAAAGTTTGATTATCTTTTAGTTTAATTAACCGTGTGAAAGCACAGTATACAAGTTTCATCAAATGATTATATTATACATGGAAAACCGAGAAAGATCATTATTGGCTTAAGATGTGATCCTGTGGGAGCTAACACTGAAAATGTGATTGTTATCATTATATTTTAAGGAACTTTTGTGGCAGCAGGGTAAGGATTGCTAAAGTACTAATAAATTTATTCAGCAGTAAATTAAATGCATTAAAGCATCTGAGGATCTCAGAAAGCTATGCAAGGTATTGCCTCTGTCTGAAAAAAGCACACTGGTGGTGCAGATATCGTAGCTAAAACATGACCATTGCAAAACTGCTTCAATATACTATTGAGTCAAATAAATAAGTGCATGCATAATCAGTGTAATTGTTCAGTAAAAAATACTAGAGTACACAAGATATAGGGCCTATTCACTTTGACACCATTTTCAACCATACCATTTTTTGGCAAAGTTGCCAAAATTTTGGCTGCGTTTAGTTTATTGCCAAATTTAGTAAATACACAAGAAATGCTGCCAAAATTTTGGCAATATTGCCATCTTGCTAAAATTTTGGCATTGTCAAAATTTGGTAAGGTTTATTTTGGCTACAATCTAAACAGGCCCATACTCAATTATGACTACAAACATGAAGTGTCACCAAGGTGTAGTACCCGCAACAAATTTGTACATGGATGTTTTTTTCCTCATGTTGCAACCATGCATAAGAACGCATTATCGCCATGTAAAGGTGGAACAGAAATCCCATGCTATCAAAAGGTACACTCTTCTCAACACCCCTTTCTTTTAGGACATATCAATTTACCTCCAATATTGATGGCAGCATTCCCAACAGTTTCCAGCAGATCAGGGGCACCATCGCCACCTTGAACTGCAAGTATAAGTCTAGGAATGGTAAAGAATGTTGAAATTCCAGCTGCTGCAGTTAACGCCACATAAAAGAACCTTCGGACACCACGAAATGGTGCTTGTACTTCACTAATGAGTTTCAGGTCTCTTCGGAACCCAGAACCAATATCTTCTCCACCACGCAATGCCTGAAATGAATTTACAGTATGTACAGGATCATATTAAATATTAGTAAAGTATGGATACTTACCTAGTGGTTACAGTGCTCAAGTAGCACCTCTAGATCCTGGGTTAAACTTCCCACAGGAGGGAATTTCAGGCCTAGTTAAAAAAGTTACTCCTTGGCCCCTCATAAAAACATGTATTAAGAATCGACCTATGGAAGGCGGGCCCTCGTGTAGGGGACAGGGGCCTCAAAACACGGGCTAAGGACCAATCCATAGGGGGCCAGTCCGTGTGTGGGGGGCCAGGGTTTGTGGCTTTTCTCGGTCGGTTTGGTTGAGGCTTCCTCTTCTTAATGAAAAGTCGTGAGGGCGGTCATTCCCCCGCTGGTCGAGTTTTTTTTTTTTACTTATTCACAAGGTTACTTTCTTATTCATTGGGTCAAATATCGGTATTAGTCATTGCCTCATTGGGTCAAATTTAAACTATGGTCAGCAGATTACTTTCTTATTCACGAGGTAGCAAAGCAGTAAAATACAAATTCACAAACCTCTTCTTGAAGTTCCTTGAATTCCGGTGATGCCCTGAACGGTGCCAAGTCAGGATCATTAAGTATAGTACCAAACTTGAGATTATAATCTCGCAGAGCTGTCCTTAAGCAATCTGCAGCTTTGTTGCTTTCTTCCCTGGTCAAACATGCACACCAATTAATAGAAAAACATAAATAAAGCACAAAAGGAACAAATCAATAATTTTGAAAGTGTTGCCTCACCTAAATGCATGGCAGCATGCTTTATTGTATAGTGCTGCTTGGGCTTCAACAGGATTTGGATTCAGCTCTAGGGCATTCTCAAATTGTTCAAGAGCATCCTTCACCTTTGGAATGTGAAAGCAATATCACAATGAATGCAGTTGATATTTTATTGTATATGGTTCTTCAATTTAATGATTACAACAAACCCATGCAGGAGTTCACTAGTACATGCACCGTCTATAAGAAACCCACTTCAATTAATCCCATATCTCTAACAGACAAACATGGTATTGTTTCAGTTTAGAGCGAGTACAATAGTAGGTTACAAGTCAGCTATAAGCACATGTGTTGGTGATAAGATAAGAGACAGAAGAAAAATGGACTACAGATTTGTAGCCAGCTGCAGCACGGACTCCAAAACGTCGTGTGTATATTTTTTTTTGACTAAATCATTGTGTGTATATGAAAGGTGGGACCATATATTAATTGTGTAGTATATATTTATAGGTAACTATTGTATGAATGTGCTATTAAATTGACTATACATGATTTGGAGCTAATAGTTGGCTATACTATTAAACTTGCTCTTAGAGCAAGTTTAATAGTATAGCCCACTACTAGCTGCAATTCACCTATAACCAATCTAGTAGCCAATTCATACAATAATTGCTTACTATACTATTAATATATAGTCCCACATGTCATACACACACTGCGTCTTGAAGTCCGTGCTGTAGTTAGCTACAGATCTGTAGCCCGTTTCTCTTCTCTCTTATCTTTTATCTCATTAAAATATGTTTATAGCCGGCTAATAGTTCGCTATTGTACCTGCTCTTAATAGCTGCTTTGCTTAAGGCTGAGTTTGAGGGAGCATATGGGCTGAAAGTTTCCCTCATTTTCTGTGCACACACTTCCCAAACTGCTAAATAATGTATTTCATGTAAAAGTTTTCTATATAGAAGTTTCTTAATTCTTAAAGAATCATATTAATCCCTTTTCAAGTTTGGAATAATTGATACTCAATTAATTATGTGCTAATGACTTATCTCGTTTTGTGCACCGCTAAGTTGCTAAGAGCAAGTTTAATAGTATAGCCAACTAATGGCTACAAATCAACTATAGCCAATATAATAGCCAATTCATACAATAGTTACTTACTATACTATTAATACCTGGTCCCACCTGTCATACACACATTATGTCTTGGAGTTCGTGCTGCAGCTGGCTACAGATTTGTAGCCCGCTGCTCTTCTCTCTCTTATTTTAACTCTTTAAAATATGTTTATAGCCGGCTTGTAGTCTGCTATTGTACCTGCTCTAAGCCCAAATGCTCATTCAAACCCAGCCTAATGTTCAAACTCAATATGGACATGAGGATGTGGTCAAATATTTTTGGGTTCAACTTCACCATTCCCTTGAAGGTCGTTACGAAGAATTTACTATTTTACTCAGCAAGCAAAAGATGGTAAACCCAGTTCAAACACTCAAATGTGGCGTAAACATACCTATATCAGCCAAAGATGAACCAAAATGGAGATAAATGCAATGATTAAATTCTGGGAAAAGGCTGCCGAATACTGACATTCCTCAGCTAACTAGAGCTGCTTGCGCACTAAAACTGGGGCATCTCTATCAACATATTACTCCTACCGATAAAATTACTCGTTAATATGATCTGATCCTTCACGACGATTGAGAAGCACTCGAAATGTGGAATAGGCGGAACGGGAATCGACTTCGCTCACCCTGCCCTTGGAGAAGAGCTCGAGTCCCAGGTTGACGCACGACTCCGCCGTCGGGACAGCCACCGCCTCCTTCCCCGGCGATGGCGGGGGAGACGGAGACGAAGAGGCCTTGGAGCGGAGCACGCAGCGGCGTCGTCGGCCGCAATGAGGGAGGAGGGGCGAGACGAAGGATAGCGCTTGGAGGGCATAGCTACGGGTTCCGCCGCCTCCGCCTCCACCGCCGCCGGCGGGGAGAAGGGCGAGGTGTGGCCGGAGAGCCGATGCTCCGGCGGCCGCCATTGCCGGTTTCGTGAGGTGAGGTGGTCGTTTTTCTCGTTATCCAAACTAGTATTTGTGGTCGAGGAGGAACGAGTTGGGCCGAAGAAGATGCAAAACCCAGCCCATTTACTCATCACGTGTAAAAAAGAAAAGCCCAAACCGGCCCACCACGGAAACCCTACTTGCGCTGCGCCTCCGCAGCATATAACCTCTCCCACCTCTCGCCCTCCGCCATCCCTCTCTCCTCTTTGGCGGCGGCGGCGGAAGAGAGCGACGCAGACGGACGGCGTGGTGGTCTCCCCCTCCGGCGACGTAGCTCGAGCTCGCAACCATGGTGAGCGCCGCGCCGTTTCTCCCGTTACGTCTCAGTTTCATAGTCTCTGTACTTGTGTAGCACCGGTGTCTTCTTCTTCTGTTCTTTAGTTTCGGGTCGAGTGGTAGCAGGATGGGCTTGTGTTTAGCTTGTGTGGTGGTAATGTTAAGAGGGAGAATTGAGAGATTGGGGGAGGATTTGGTTTGGTTCTTGGGAATTGATGCGGTGTGCATTGTTGTAGATTGGCGGGCAGGTGTGATGAGGGCTATGCAATCTTTTTTTCGTGTTATGTTTCCTATTTCCTGTTTCTTGATGGCAGCATATGTATGATGATTACCTTTTGATGTAGTAACTGATTTAAGTTGTGTGCTGTTTGATATATTCTTACTAATTTTATATAGGAATTAGATTCCAAGATATGTAGTTAAACAGTATGGATCCTGTTGGGATCTAGAATTATATTGTGGATATACAGTATCGAGCCTATTGCTATCTAGAATTATATTGTTGTACTGGCTTTTAAGAAGCATCACAATTCTGTGAGTATGTGGTTAATAACATACTTAACGTTGTCAACCTGTTATTTTCTGAACAGGCGAGGGGATTGAAGAAGCATCTCAAGAGGCTCAATGCGCCCAAGCACTGGATGCTCGACAAGCTCGGCGGAGCTTTTGTGAGTTTACTGATTTCCTGTGATGTGCTTGAAATGGCCTCTGCCATTTGCGACTATTTTCTGTTGTTCAGTAATGTAATTCGCCGAACTGCTTTGTGTGCCTTCCAGGCCCCCAAGCCATCGTCTGGACCTCACAAGTCCAGGGAATGCCTGCCCCTGATCCTCATCATCAGGAACAGGTTGAAGTATGCGCTGACATACCGTGAGGTTATCTCTATCCTGATGCAGCGGCATGTCTTGGTTGATGGGAAGGTCAGGACTGACAAGACCTACCCTGCTGGTTTCATGGGTATGCACGCATGTTTCTTTTCTGACCCGTCGTTATCTTGTATGGTCTGGTATGCAAGTGGTTCATTTCTAGCATACCTTACATGGTAATGCCCTCTGTTTGGCAGATGTGATTTCCATTCCAAAGACTGGTGAGAACTACAGGCTTCTCTATGACACCAAGGGTCGCTTCCGCCTTCAGTCCGTCAAGGATGAGGATGCCAAGGTTAGCATTGCTTCTTTTCACTCATGCACACGTGAATGTAAATTCTCTATTCTGTTTTGTAGTCTAAATGTTTGTGACCCGATCTTTTATATGCAGTTCAAGCTTTGCAAAGTTCGGTCTGTCCAGTTTGGACAGAAGGGCATTCCCTATCTGAACACCTATGATGGACGCACCATCCGCTACCCGGACCCTTTGATTAAGGCTAACGACACAATCAAGATTGATCTTGAGACCAACAAGATTGTTGACTTCATCAAGTTTGATGTGGGCAATGTCGTTATGGTCACAGGAGGGAGGAACACTGGTCGTGTTGGAGTAATTAAGAACAGGGAGAAGCACAAGGGCAGTTTTGAGACCATCCATGTGGAGGACGCATTGGGCCATGCCTTCGCCACCCGTCTGGGCAATGTGTTCACCATCGGCAAGGGCAACAAGCCATGGGTGTCTCTCCCTAAGGGCAAGGGTATCAAGCTCAGCATCATCGAGGAACAGAGGAAGCGAGATGCTGCTGCTCAGGCTGCTGCAAATGCTTAAATACATTTCTATCTTCAAAATTTGAGTTTTGTTTGGGTTGACAGAATTTTCCATCCTAGTTGAAATGTAGTTCACAGTAATACTGTTAAGTTGCAGAGATGCATCCTTTTCTACTGTTATTTCATGTTATCGAGCCATTTTATTGTGTTCATCTTTTGGCCTTGAAGCTACCAAAATGGCTGAGACCGTTATCATCATGCAGTCATTATAATGAACAGTAGCAATTAGCCATCACTTGTTTAGAGCGAGATTTGTTTTCAGGCAACTGCTGCTTTACTGAAGCTACATGGCTAATCTTGGTTTATTCAAACGAGACTATTGGCATCCTTCCAGCTTGGCATTCAAAGGGAGTCTTGGTTTAATCAAATAGGCTTCCAATCTTTCCAGGTTTTGCAAAGTAAAACCTTTTTCGTAATGGATCATATTCCTGGAACACAATTGTATGGAAAGGTAGGGATGGGTAGAAAAAGATCGAGACCGAGAAATTCGGTCCTAGGTAGTGAGACCGAATTTTATTCGGTCAATTCGGTTAGTCTTATCGGTTAAAAAAAAAGACCGAATTAACAAATTAACAAAAAAAAATTTCTAAATCCAACCTATAATCCACTAAATTCAACATGATTAAACTCTATTTTTCACACCCCTACTTATAGGCATGTAATGTAAGAAGTGTCTTTACGCATACATGCTTACGATTTTTTTTTTGATTTTTGTGTTGAAAATTTCCATTATTTCTTTGCATATATGAAAATGTTGCTGAATTTCGGTCAGGACTGAGACCGAGACAAATTAATTTGTCGGTCCTAATATTTTTTCGTTGAAATTCGGTATTCACTTCCAAAAGACCGAAAGACCAAAGACCGAAACCGAAATTTTCGGTTAGACCGAATACCCACCCCTGTGGAAAGGTACGCATGCCGAACAAATGGAATGTTTGGTTTATTCAATGAGACTTCAATTATTGGGAAAGGTGATAATACAAATTGGCAAATACGGTAGTACTGTTTTAAACCTCTCGCTAGTATTTTTTTTCACCCGAGGCTAAACCGAAATACCGTCCTGCCTGGGATGCATAGTTTACAAAACCACGCGGTCATCACGTGTGGTAATCTTTTCAGTTTTTGAAATCACGGTATAGCTCTCGGTTTGGGGAATCATGCTAGGATGTGGATCCTGGCTGTGATGTGAACACACTCGTGCATACTCACCGGCAGCGGTAGATCCGGCCGTCATAGGGCCGGCAACGACAGATCTATCCTTCTTGGGCTGCCCTTGCCTCCCCTTCACCAGTGTAGCTCCTAAGGCCACCATGGGTGGATCCACGTCCCCTAAGACCTCCACCTCAACTGTTGCCATCGTCGAGGTCGCGGTAGCCGCCGCCGTCATTTGAGTCGTTGTAGCCACTGCCTTATCCCGTCACGGGGTCACTCGAGAGATATTTAACCATTTGCCACATTTAGATGTGGCAATTAACTATTTGCCACTGGACCCACATGTCATAGACACATGTGGACCCACATGTCATTGAGATAGGGGTGGCAAATAGTTATTTGCCAAATCTAAAAGTGGCAAATAGTTAAAAGCCCCGGTTACTCGGCGGTGGCAGATCCGCCCTTTCCTAGGGCTGACAATGATGCTGCTGGATCCGCTGCCGCCATCACCGTCCCTCCAAGGGCCGAGGGTGGTGGATCCATCCCTCACGAGGGAGGTGTCGATGGATCCACTGTCCTTAGGGGGCTGCCGCCGTCGTCATCGTCGTCTTTGCCATATCTCCCACCAGAGCCGAGCGGGGTAGGGAGAGGGGAGGGGAGGGGAGGAGTAGGGAGAAGAGAGGGGTGAGGAGAAGATCTCCTCCATGATAGAAAAATCTCCTCCCCAAGCATCTACTCCACGCGTGCGCGCTCCGTCGGGGCCGCCACCGAGCTCCACTGAGCATTTGGACCTCAAGCGCCGCCACCTCTGCATGAGAGAGATTGTGAGTGAGTGAGAAAGAGAGAGAGGAGGTGAGGAGTTGAGGTGACTAAATACGTAGGGAGAGTAAAGGGGATAAGGATAAGGATGAGCAGAGAGATGGGTGGCAGGCGGGCCTATTAAGACGTCCACCTGCGATAATAAATTTTCGTATCACAGGTGGATTTTTGCTGGACACCGCCTAAATATTTTTACATATGAATGCTCATTTAGTTGGCCGCCTAAATATTTTTACATATGGACGCTCATTTAGTTGGCTAAAAAAAAAACACAGTGTGTGTTCGCGAAAATCGTTTTTTGTAAGTGTTTCTTAGGTCTTCCGGTGAAAATGGAGGCACAACACATAAGATCGCTTCCCGATTTTGTTTCAATTCACGATCACGGGATTTCACGTGGCCGCAGGCCGCAGCCAGCGTCGCATCCACCTTCATTTGTCCGTCATCGTACACCGGGCTCTTCGTCCGTCATTCGCAATCCCGTGAGCTTCGTCTGTGCGTCCGCGTCCCAACGCCCGCACGAGCGTTCGTTGTTTCTGCTGTCCCCAGACAGGTTCCAAGACTGAGAGCGCCCTGACGTCCATGCCTAGGGAGTATAGTCGATCACGTACTAGCCACACCAAGTAAGAAGAAGAAGAAGACCGGTAAGAGAGGGGTGGCTGCCTGCTTTTTTGCTTCTTGCTGCTGCGGCCTGTTCTTCATCGGAGCTCTTCGTGTCCAGATTTCTTCAAGGCTAGAGAGCAGCTAGCAATAGGAGGAGGCAGTAGGCATGGGCAGCGTCAAAGGTGAGCGGCTGACCGGTGTGGAGCTCTCTGGTTTGTGTAGATGGCTTTGCTCTGTGTTCATGATTTGGGTTCTCAGGGGATGCTCTGAACTTGGGTTATTTGGGGTTCAAAGTTCGGATCATCTGTTCGATGTTCCCATCGATTTTGTTTGGTGAGAGTTGCAAAAGAACGGTTTTATGTAGGTAGGGCCAAATCAAACTTGAGATTTCTCTCTCTCTCTCTCTCTCTCTCTCTTTTTCCTGACGCTTTCCCTGATATGTGCATTAAAGGATTTTGATATGGCCCAGCCTGTTTGAGTTTATTTTCTTGATTTTCTTTTTGAATTTATTTAGATAGTGTGTGCTCTTTTGAGTGAGCTCTCTAGATAGTGAGTTTGCTTCATTGTGTCTGTGCGTGATGACAGCACAAGTGTCAAGACGAGGCAACAAGGTGCACTACGCTTTATGCGCAAGACACTGCAAAATCACATACGACTATACATGACAATTGAAATTGTTTTTATCCAGTATACCGCATGGACATCTTAATAGCATAGGATAAAGAGAAAAGCAATAATAACCAAAGGTTGGAGTTTAGGATTGGTTTATTTATTTATAGGGGTATTAGCATGGCTAGGATTATAATTAGCTAGGGTTTAGCTTTAGATTAGCGATAGTAAGGTTGGCAAGTATAGCGGCTAGGATTTAGTTTATTAATTTCTAGCCTACATGGGAGACTTCTCTAACCGGTGCTGACAAATAGCATAATGGCCAGAGGATTGGAAGGTTGGTGCAGGTTGTGAGGTGGATGTGTTATTCTGACAACCATGGATGGTAGTGGGGCGGGAGAGCTAAGTGTGCAGTGTACTGTGGAGACCAAGGAAACAATGAAGCTCCAATCTCTGTAGGCATCGATAAGTGTGGTGCGAGGAATAGCAGTACTTCGGCTTTGGGATTATGTTATGTGGAGCTTTATATCCAACAGTCCGATCTCGAACGTCCTTATGAAAGGCGTAAATTTCCAAACGGTGTTTTTTAAGTGGCTAAGGGGTAATTTGGAATAAGAGGAATAATATTCAAAAGATTGAATTTAATATAATTCTAAATTGGAAGTTTAAATGGCATTTAAATAGATTAAGAACATTCAAATAAAATATGAAAATATAAAAAAATAGTATCAATAGATAGAGTTTGAATTTAGAGTAATTTAGGTCCAAGTTTGACTTGAATCGGTTTTATGGTTGAATCAGTTTTATGGTTTGGGAGAAATGGGCTCTAAAAATTGAACTTTGGATTAAATCTAGAAAATACGAAACAAAACTGTTTATGGGGCCAACCTGTCAAACACTGTTATTCTTTTCTTTTCTCTCCTTCCTCCTCCCGATCACCTCTCTCTTTCTTGTTGCAGGCCGTGGCTAGGGTTGGGGATTCCAGCGGCTATGATGGCCAGAGGCCAGGGCGGATTGAGAGAGGAGGCTGTGTGCACGACGGTGGCGAAGTATCCCCCGTAGTGGAACGGCTAATTGTGCCAGCGGCAAGGTCGGTAGCTAAGAGTGGGCATGGCGGATTGGCATCGAGGAGGCCGAAAGGGGATGGGTGGTGGCTTCAGCGTAGGGTAGTTCAGATTAAATTGATGTCATGGGAAGCTCTAGCCTCTATGTGGATGATGATGATAACTCATTTTGTGGTTGGTTGTATTTACACCCAAATTTGTCATCTAAGATTCGGATTAGGAAAATATTGTCAAAATTTGGAGAGTATCGGTTTGCTTCACGGAGCTGGTATGACTGTCGTATGTGGGCCAGTCAGACCGCTGCTTGTGTGCCGGTCAAACTAGCAGAGTCCGATCTCGAGTCTGTTTTCGTCAGGCCTCGGAATTCCTTTTTTGGGATGGCATATTTTGGGTTTTTGTTGATTTTTTTGTCCCGAGTTGGACGTGGAGGAGGCAAGACCAACCCCTATATAAAGCACAAGGCCGGTTTAATTGGAAGAAGAATCTACACAGTCCAATGTAGCCAATAGAATCGCTTTTTCAATATTGCACCTACTTTTCGCCTAGTTCTAGCCTAGTTCATCCATCTTTGTCGATTTGCGCCGTAAATCATCCGCCTTCACTGCAAGAGTACAGAATTCTTTTCTAGGTTTGTTCCGTAAACCTAATGTTCACCCTTAAGATGGGTGTGTATCGCTTGTTTCATTTAAATCGGCTCCGCTAGCCGGTTTAATCTATCGAAACCCATTTTGATCTAGCTTTTGCTAGATTGAGGTGGTCGGTGACTCCATACCACCGCAAGGTGTTTAGGTGTCTCGATCATGATTGTCTTCTTACAAAAAAAAGTTTCCAATAGGTTGGTTGTAACTAGCGATGGAAAGGAAGCTCGTGGCTCGTTAGCTCGCTCGACTTGTGACAAGCTCGGCTCGGCTCGACTCGTTTCATTTTCCTAACGAGCCAAGCTGGCATTTTAACTCGTTAGAGATAAGGAGCCAGCTCCAGCTGGCTCGCGAGCCTTAA